TCTAGCATTTCATTTGATTCGTATTTTATTAGGTCTGCACTTCTCCTCCACTTCCATTTCGTACATAGGCTGACTGTATATCGTTGAAGTAAGTCGCTTTAGCATAGTGTTCCTTAGATGCCATGGGCTATCAGACGATCTCAAACTGTTTACGTAGCATAAGGGCTGGGATTTTGCTATGTATCCGCGTGCGGTAAACCACTGGAAGTTTGTTATTAAGATGAGTATTTTATGATAAGAAGGAGGTGGACATGTTTTACCGGGAAGAGTATGACGGTTAGGTGTAGACTAATGGTTAGAATTACTACAACCTTATCAACAAAGTATTCGCTGACTGATAACCTCCTGACAAAACCACAAAGCGATTACCTGCATTAGTGAAAGATCCTTTATCAATCATCAATATGATTGAAAGATTTTTCTGCTGCTCACAAGATTTCCAGTTACTCTCGCAGACTTGCCGTTCAAGCACCAATTTCAAGTAAGTAGCAGACATACAGACAGACTTTACAATATAATTCCTGTTTTCTGGAGTTGTTTGGAAAACAGCACGCTATATTTCAAACACCAGATCATTCAGTGTGATCACGTATTATTTCGCACTGGAAAATGGATCAATTCTAATGAAACATAAGGTGCTGGGGCAAGAATCTTAGCTCTATTCCTTCATGTGGCAGATAGTGACTCGTTTAGCAAACAAGCAGAAGATTAAGTGATTAGATGCAGCTGTGAAATAACCCTTGCTATTTTATGTTGAGACTTTGCTAAAAGACATTGAATAACCATGAGATCAAAGAGCAAGTCAACAGTTATATTTAAACAATACAGATAGTTTTGAAATTTTTTTTTCCAAAGATTTTGTCAATAATTCGCTGGGTATGCCAAATTTGTACCTTTTCTCTTCTGCAAATCGAGATAAAACAACAATTTCAAGCTGTTGTTTTTGAACCAGTGCAAGATATACACGTGGATGGGCGCATGATTTGGGAAGAGATTTCGTCGTTAAGAACGATGTTCTGCTTTTGTTTCAGAAAGTAACACTATGTTCTTGCTGATACTATGTGAGACAACGACAGATTACCTTCTATATTACACTCAACAACAATCTACAGGATTGCCAATATGCAAAAAAATATGACTCAAAGCCTATGTCATTCACCATAACTTCTCGAACAACGAGAATAACATTACATTAGAATGAAGTAGTCACGGAAACAACAAAGTGCGCTAAAGACTGCAAATAAAATTCAAATGCTGCAATCGATATTGGTCGTTGGAAGGACAAAATTTTTTGTGCAACAATATTTGAACGCATTCCAAATCAGAAGTTCAAAATTGCTGGAATCGAAGTACGAAACATTACGTTATCCAGCTGGCTCATCGGATTTAACGTGAAAATGCTGCCATATTTCGATCATTTTTGAGATAGGCGACCTATATAGAGTTTACTAAATCTTGGACGTTTTGCAGTGTGAGCATTAACTTTGTTGTACGAGGCAAATAATTGGCCTAAAATTTAGCCCTTAATTTTGTCTTTCAAAGTCTGCCCTCTCCTGGCCCCTAAAATTCCTTCTTCAATCAAAAGAGAAGGACCAAACCGAATACTAGGTCGGTGATATTGAATGACCAGTTTTTCACGCCTTAAGTGTCTACTGATTACCGAATTAATAACGAGTTCAGAGAGCATGAAAAACCCATAAAGGACGCGCTTCAATCAACGACTCTCTTTGGCGTGCGTCATTGCTTGCCGCCTGCGGCGGTAAAAGATGCTCGTAGACAAAAAATATCACCAGTCTGAAGACTCAGCAAGTAACGCTTTCACATAGCCGTTCAACCAATGAATTGTGGAAGAAGATATTTTCGTTAATTTGTTTTTATGTGCAGACGATAGCAGGCGCAAACTAAATAAGAAATTTCGAAATAGAGATCAATGATGGGCTAGAAGACGCAGCTATGACTATCCTACTATGACACTAGGTTTGTTCAGATGACTTTGTGACTGCGTGGAAATTGTGTGGGATATAGTGGCAACAATGATCTTCACATAGCATTCATATTGTTGTGACATTTCGCTACGCAATTCTGCTGCTCAAACAGAAAAAGTTGCCTATTTAACAGCGCTCCTTGAAGCGCTTCTATTCTGCAGCTCTACATCGTTATCGCTGTACCGATTTTGTCATATAATTTTTGTCCCACAGTTTTTTAGACCTTGAAAACTGCTTCGCATAAGGTATACTAGATAAATCAGAAGCTGAATAAAGCGGCGCTGTGATCTGACTTGATAAAATACATTTAAACACAAAAAAGAATGTTTTTAGCCTGAACGAGGTTGGTACGCCAGGGCCATACACCGGTGTCTCGGAGGTTTCGGCCTCATCGTCAGTGACCCCCGCCCCACATTAAGCCCTGCATTGAAGCAAGGAGGGAGGCGTATGTGGTGATGGCATAATGTACACTGACACTGGTCCATCACCACTGTTCAGTCGATGGATTTCGGCTGGTAGACCAAAATTAATCCATATGATCGACTGTTTTTAAAACCTCGTGGTGAACATTCAAAATTAACTCAAAAACTTATTTTTTGAATGTTTATCACGAGATTTTAAAAACACTCATCATATGCATTTAAACACAATTTATGCTATGATGTGCTGCAATAAGAAGTCCAGTCCTCAATCAAATAAGCTCTTCATAAAGTTTGTAACATGATGTGGAGTGTGGGAGCCTCTTCGGACTAATAAGTAATGGAACAACTCTCGAAAATTACAATGACTTAGATCCTTTGTCACAGCTTCGGTTGAAATGTGAGTCGATATGCCTCATTGAAAGCCACTTGCAAGCGTAGTGCTGTGTCGAAACTTTTGCGACGTTCTCAATGTTCAAATCACAATTTACACAGTTGTACCAAAATATTTGCATGTCTTTGAGCAACAGTCGGAATGGCGGCTTCACTGACAATATGGCACCTGCTCGCTCTACCTGAGTGTCGTTGAGCTGGCATTGGCAAGGGTAAGTACAGAAAAGAAGGACTATAACTCTGAGCTTCATGAAGCAAGCGTTTAGGGTTATATGCCGCTTTTGAGAGACATTTTGGAAGTATCCGTAATTCCTTTTTTTACAACTGTCGAAAACGTTTCCATTATCATGTGCCCGGAGACAGTTCGTACGAAAACATTGACGCTTGGAAAATTTATCATGTCAATATAGCATGACAATACTGCTGTAGGGGCGGTGAAACAATAAATTCTCGTTAATTTCAACAAGTCAATATTCTCTGTTAGCATTCTCAGGGAAAAATCGTCAACATTTTCAAAGGAGGCAATGATATTCTCCAGCTTCAAAGAGCTCCTGGGTGAGTTGACATCTTTTTTCTTGCCAACTAACAAGCAACAATTAGGCAAAATCATGTGTGATATGACATGGCGTGATTTTGGAAGAATTGATTCTGAACAAAATTGACACCGTGAGGATGTATCGTGAAAATCGAATACACCTTCAAAGGAAGAAGAAGCGAAATCTCTTGGATAACAGATTTCCAGCGAAGACCTCCTTGCTATCGAAAATTTGTTGAGAACCCATCGGAGAACTGCTTACTCGTTAGTATCGGATTTTTTTAAGTGTTTCACCATTTCCATATTCAAGATCAATCAGTGACGGGAAACTGCGTAACGCGATGTTCAACAATTCTCAACACAAATGGAATCTGACTGACTCGAAAGGAAGAATCGTGATACCATACATAATCTCGGGAAAATTTGGTATATAGAGTGATTACTAAGAATTTTACGTTTATTCTCTATATTTCAAATCTACTGTTTTACACCACTCAAGCTAGACAAAATACAATGGTGTCGCTGTATTCTCATCGCTTGTAATAAGCATAACTGGAAATTTGATCTATCAAAAGAAGCTTAGAAGGAGGATATGATTTACAAGAACTCATCATGCCTTTTCTTCATATGAGAAAAAATCATTAAGTGCTGCTGTAAGGAAGGTTCTAGAAACCCGAAATAATTTGAGATAATGGAATTCTGTAATTGATTTAGTAGTGGCACTTTCAGTGATCTAAACACAAAATGCATTTGCTTTATCGTATTCATTTGAGTGTTCCAGTAACAGTTGTTGAAATAATTCATTTGTTCGAGAGCCGATCTCATTCTAATCGATAGTTATTCAAATGATACAGCAGATTTTCCGATTGGAGGTTAATATCTATGAATTTCATGGAATATCGATAGAGAACCGTGCAAAATTTTAGAAGATGTTGAACTCAACACAATAAAAAAAGCGATGAATCGGATCCGAAGAAACACCTGTATTCACTTCAGAAAAAGGAAAACTGAAGCCGATTACGTCGATATTCAGAACGAAAGGGACAAAGGTGAGTGATTCTGCCTCGAAAAGGTAAAAAAATTCAACGCAGCATATTGTAGGCAGCAATATTATTTCCTAGATGGCCCGGCCCATCGTTTGGGCGGTCGTCCAAGAGGACGCTTACATTTACTCTCTTTGCTTACTCTATCTGCCAATTGTTCTTCTGGTTTTGTGACCATCCCATCCATAGTACTTCATGATCTGCGTTTTCGTCCTATTTAGCGTGTACAAATCTCTCCAAACTCGTTTAGTTAATTCAGCACTCCTCTGCTTTAATGGTACTCCTCGGAAATCGGCGATATCAAGCGTGAACCAACTGCTAATAGGAATTTTCCACCTAGTGCGCCTTTCTTCTCCAATTGAGTTACTTAATTGCCCATTGTAGTGGGGCACAGCTTTAGCGCCACAGTGCCACTAAGTAAAAAGGCTGTGTGTCATCTAGGGCCTTCGTTATGCGCAAGAGGATAATCCTGGCGAATTGTTCGTAGAACACACTCAACTAGCAAATCGTACAGCAGTTACGAAGATTTATATGGTCAAAAAGAAATTTTTATCTATCCATTTTTAACGATGGTATAATGTTATGATTATATATTCAATATTGTCAAGGGATATACAATAGTTTGAGCCTCGGACGGAAATCGAACCCACATTCCACCCTTCCAAAGACACGTGCTAATCAACTGCAGCACCGAGGCTCCTGTTGTGATAACACTCTTTCCGCGATTGAACGTATTGTCAGCAATGGTTTAGCTTAGCGGGAACATTTCGGCATTGAACTCATTACGACGACAAATATTGGGTGCATCTAGTCATTGAGAATTCTTTATTTAACAGCTCATTTAGCGGTGCTATGTTGTAATTAGCGAGCTTCCTCGGAATGAGTGAGATGCGGACTCGAATCCCGTCTATGGTTCAAAATTTTGCACATTAGTTAGTAATGTTGGATATATAATGTAATGTCGTATTATTGTCCCAAAAATGGTTAGATGAAGAATTCTTTCCTATTGAATGTATCTTGTAACTATCAGTGTAACGAGGCTCAAAGTCGATATGTGCTTGCCAGGGCCAAACTGTTGGCGGATAGCTGTTGACGGATCGATACCTTGTATCGCGGAAAAAGTGATGGCAGAACAAGAGTTTCGGTAGGGGTTGAATGCGGTTTCGATTCCTGCTTGAGGTTCAAAGTTCTGCATATCACCTAACATTACTAGTTATAAAGGTTCTTTCAATCAACATTCTTGGCCAGAATTACTATGCGCGATCTTCTCCGATGGCCTGCATTCTTTCCCAAGAGAAGAAGTTGCATGGATTGCTCAAAGTACATGAATTTATATATTAAAACTAACTCTATAAAGGTTGGCGATGATCATATCTATTTTCGAACTCGTCTCTCCGTGTTTTCTATTTTAGATGAAGCTTCAGACGGTGAAATCTCAAACTGTATTTCTCCAGTAAGATATTTCAGGCCCGAAAAAGGTGATATTGAAGAGAAAAGATCACCACGAAATCTATTTTGTACCAATTTCTTATTGTGGCATTGATGTGGTAACAATGCCACCATCCTCTATCAAGGGGGTAATGGAACACGGTTAGAAAGTTCTAGTGGCATTTCTCCGGGTTGGATCAATTCCCAGATGCGCCAAATAGCTTTTTCTGCCTGTGCCAAATCAAGCCTTTCTCCAGACTTCTTCTACAGTTCAAATTTATCACCAACTATTGTTAGGTGTTTTCATAGAACCTAGCTGCATCTTCCTCTTTTCGGGCGACTCCTAAGTTCTAATTTAGAAGCGGTCTAGATTTCTTGCTTGCCGAGGGGAGGTGATATACATATGCTTTGGTCCCTTTGACTCGCTGGTTGTAGACTTTGGCTGGTTCCTTTTTTAATCTGGTGATTATGTGAGGAAGAGATTCAGTGGAGAACATCACCATCATCATACCAGACTTGTTTGATTTTGTTGAACGTTGATAAGAGTTTTTTTGCCTATGATCGGACCGAACATTTACGCTAATGAAGCTTTGATTAGTCGCTTCTCCTGGAAGTCTCTTCACTTTAAATGCTAGTACAGCAGCATAAGAAACCAGCTTGTTCAAGTACTGCACTTTGAACACTTTATTTTCACTCTTCACTTTTTTTTCTTTCAGTACTTTTCCATTAGCTGAGCGCCACTTCTACCCTTGTAAAAAACGTAATTCTTGGTCTTTTTCAATGTTCAAATAGTCGTTCGACAGCACAGATTAAAAGAATTTGAACGGTTTATTTAATCTCTGAAAAAAACCTTCTCACTGCGCTGAGAGAGCAAGAATAAAATTTTGTTTCTCATCGAAAGATTTCCCGCTGACCAAAGCATTTCCTTTGGAATTCTACTAGTCAATCGATAGAACAAATTTTAAAAATTCCAATAATTTATTTGGTTCTATCATGGATCCGATATTGCGCTGTAACAGCCAAAGCAGATTGGGTTGCGTAAAAAAATGAAGAGTTCAACTATCCTTTCTCCACTTCCATCCATTTGGAAAAATGTAACTTTTTTATCGTTTCCAATGAAATTCCTGATTTTCTTCTTCAGGTCAAACAGGAAGTGTTACATCAAACTTTAATTCAGAGCTGACGTTCCGGCAGTTCGCCTTCTTCAGAGCCTGGAGAGGTCAAAGTTTCCGCAATCCAATCAGTGAAGCGCCTCCCCTACTCCTTTAGAAAAAACCACCAGACCTAGATTTCAGTCGCTTCGAGCACAAAATCAACTCTCATCATACCGTTTTCTATACGTGCTCCATTGAATGATTCAAGTGGAGACCACCGGAAGAAGATCACATAGGCTCGTAATGCACCTTACCCATCAAAACAACAGTCTTATATGCTGACTCTGACTCTTATACACTGACTATCACGAGTGATAACGACGCATTCTTTCCTGCGGTTTATAGTTGGATTGGTTCGTTTTTAATGATTAAATAATCAGTCGATAGCTCAAATAAAAAAAATTGAACAGTATATTTTGCTCCCAAAAAGGCCTTGCTGATGTGCTGAAAGAGCAAAGACAATAATTTGTTCCTCATCCAACGGTTTCTCGCTGATCAGGGCTCCTCTCATGTAGTTTCAAGAGCTTAACTATAGAACAAATCTCAAGGATTCCAATAATGTTTTTGTTTCTTTAACGGACGTTTCAGTGCTTCGTAACACCCAAAAGAGAATTGGGTTTCACACTTAATGATTCCAGTTTTGCGAAACCCACCTCCTTTTGGCTGTTACAGCGCGGTATGATGTCGAGATTCGAAATTGAATAAACCCTTAGAGTCCCCAAAATCTAATTTATCGATTGATTACTGGAACTCCAACGAGAAATTTGTGGTCAGCGAGAAATCTTTCAATGAGAAGCAAACAATTATTTCCACCCTTTCAGAACATTAACAGCTCTTTTGAAGATAAAATATACCATTCAAATTCTCTTGATTTGAGCAATCGATTGATTATCCTAGCATTAGAAACGATCAAAAAATGCGTTTTTTCCCTTGGTTCGAAGTGAAGAGAGAACGATTGAAGTGATCCATTTTTGTGACACTCAGTCTTCTTTAGGCTGTTACAGCGTAATATTGAATACACGATAAAAATCAAATGTATCATTGGGATTCAAACATTTGATCTATCGATTGGTTAACGAAACTTGGAAGGAAAATTTTTAGTCAACGATAAATCTTTCTATGAGGAGCAAAATACTATTTTTGCTCTTTCAGCGAAATGATAAGACATTTTTGAAGAAGAAACGCACAGCTAAAATTCTTTTGTTATAAGCTATCGAATGGCAATTTAGTCGTCGAAAACAAGCGCGAAATAATCTCTTTCTGAAGGGTCGAATTGGCGCTCAGCTAACGGAAAAGTACCTTTCTTTCTTTTTTCGCTGTGCGGATTCTGGTAATTCTAGCATTCAATCGTTCTTTTGTCTTTTTCTTAAACATCGTGGAATACTGTTGAGCGCGTCGCCTTGCAATGTCGAGGGTAGTCTGGCTGTGGCGTTCTATGGGGCCTTCGTTCTTGATTGACGGAGAGTGCTGAGGGTTTATATGGTCCCCATGTGTGGCGGGACGAGCATCAAAACCACTCTGTTACAGTCCCCTTTCCAGTACTACATGACTGGTTTAATTTCCCAGTTAGTATTGTGGCATAAAATTCAGCGCATGCAAATCTATTTCGACACGGGTGGAATAGAACTGACCTATTGGAAAGACACATAATGCCATGTTTATCCATAACTCTTTAACCTATGCACTGTACAGATCTCAGCACTTCTTGTCCTCGATTCGTGCCCAGAATTCGTTTTCCGCAACAGTTTTGAAACATTTCACGTCTTGCTTCGGCTAGTGCTTGGGATTTTGCCTCCTTTATGAACATCGGTAGAGTCTTGGCCGAGACGGTTCTTTTTGCCATCTTGGTAGTGAGCAAACTGTAGTGCTCCTATATGGCCTTGCGGACATGTGCTAATTGAGGAAGCCAAACCGAACTTCCTGATGACCTACATCACTGTCTACTACGTTATCCCTCCTAAAGAATGAATTAAATAAGAAATTTTACCGGCCTATGTTTCACTTAACGTAACAATCCTCAATGGTGCTTTGTTTTAGATGTTATACATATGGTGCGGGTCGCTACACAGGACAAAATATATTAATGCTTGAACCGAACAAAAACGGCACGTTAGTTCTTTTCACGTTATAAATATTCAACACTTACATATGCTCTGAGTATATTGAAAAGAAGATATCTGCGAAGATGCAAGAAGACAGATTCGTTATTCGTGCTGACTTGTTCGACCGACTGATTTGGTAAGAATTGGTTTAACACTTACATGTGATCCGCCACCATAACTGAGGCAATCAAGCGGTCGTATTAACCTGAGCCAAACACATTAATTACGTGAAAAAGACTCTGTCCGTCTGACCTCGACCAATAATCTAAAAGTTGCAAAAGATTAAGCGGTTCTGAAAAAAGCGATCTACCGAAATATCAGTTGCCGTTGAACATACTTTACTATAACGACCTCTGTCTGCCTATGAGAAAGCATTACCTCATGGATCTTCATTCATTAATCATTGTCCAGTTAAACAAAAAGACGATTCTAAAGATTTCGTTGGCACTTAATTTGAGCAAAAAATGAATGACTCCGTTAATTTAGGACTATGTGTGCAGTAGTTTTACTATGGCTAAGGAACAGTACTTCAGAATGTCAAAAATGCAATTTTTTGATAAACCCAATGATGTAGAGTGGTGTGCAAAAACGTTTGCGTTAGCCGAGATTCGAACCCAGATCATACCCTTTCAATCGATCTTTCGATCTCTTTCTCTCTTTCTTTCTCTTTCGGAAAGAGTAAGACCTGGGTTCGAATCCCGGCTAACGCAAACGTTTTTGCACACCACTCTACATCATTGGGTTTATAGAAACATCGTGACACCGCAATAAGCGGTCAAATAAAATGATTTCGGATTGTATTTTTTTGCATAGCTGAATCGCTCAAGAAAGCTTACCATATACTTACTGCTTCGCAGTATTTCTTTCGTTAGCCTAGTAAAGTGTAGGCTAAGCTTTTTTGTATTTGACCACTTACCACCACTGCACTGAAGAAATCAAATGGCTCAACCACTGCGTGATCTTCTTTCATATCCCCAGCGCATAAAAGCTATGAAAGAAGAGAGCAAACGATA